GATCGTCTCCGCGGAGGAATGGCGTCACGCCCGGGCCAAAACGATCGCGAAGGAGTCGCGGGAGCGCGCGAAGGACCTCGATGCAGTCAAGGTGAGACCTCCTCTCCCGCGCTTGCATCGAGAACTAAACCGGTCCGAGGTAGCTTAGGCGATAACCAGTATTCGCTTCGTAGGTGAGCAGAGCGATGCTGGAGCCTCGAAACGAAACGACGAAGAAACCGGTCCGAAGTGTTCGGAAAATATCGCTCGTTCGAGAGACGATCGAGAGACACTCGAAGATAAAGAGACGAAGGAGAAAGAGCAAAGCGAGTCTGTCTTACGAGCATCGTTTGGATGCACTGAAGCTGTGCGCTTGCCCGACCCTCGCAAGAAAACTGTAATGAGCGTCTGGTCGCGTCGCGCCGTCTGTCCTTGCATCGTTTTCGTATCATTTGTCACTGCGTTTCGCAACGGGATTTCCCGCTCATCGTTGCCAATCTGCTCGCGATCCGGGGCTTTCCCGATTCCCGCCTTAAGTTTTCCTCCTGCGATCGAACGAACGCGTACGATAACCGAGTGCAGAGGTTACGCGGCGTTATCGGTCGTACGCGGCGATTACCGCGCGGATGCACCTCTCTTTTGTCCTCTCCGTGTCTCGGCGAGTCTCAACCTTGGAGAGGTGAATCACGCGTTAACACGCAGTTTACGCTGTCCGCTCGACCAATCGGCGAGTGCTACGGACCTCTGGTCCCGGCGGATTAGCTCGTAAACCGTGTCGCGTCGTAAAAGTAAATACGAACTGGAGAAGACGAGACGGGGAAGATCAGGCGAACGTTCGCGATACGTGCGCGGGTTTTTATCCATCGAGGAAAACACGGTCGAAAGAAGAAGAGGGCGAAAGCGATCGTCCATCTCCGCCTTCGACCTCTTCTCCCTCCAGCCTGTGCGCTCGAGAACGCGAGAGAACGCGCGACGCGGAACGGGAGAAAAAAAAACAACCTCGCCGAGTACGCATATAAAGGAGCCGTGGATAGCCGATCGTTGATTCTCTCGACGACCGGCTACGGCGAGTAGACACTTTTTATCTTCGATCGTTTATTCGCGTCGTTTCGTCGAGTCTCCTGAGAGCGTCTTCCTCCTCGATTAACGCGAACCATGCGGTTCGAAATTTGCGCCGCTCTCGCCGCGCTCCTCGTGACCGCCGCGTCCGCAGCTAATGACGCTCCCTCCGGACGAGTCTGTAAGTACGCCTACGCGTTCTGGCGAACCGATCAATTTCGCGGTTTGACACGCGATTTTTCTATTACTCTTCAGACACGATATGCGTGCCCGAGGTCTACCGGAAGGAGTGCGCGGAGATGGTCAAGGACTCCGCGGTCAAAGGGATACCGATCTCGTGCATATCCGGCCGCGATCGATTCGAGTGCATCGAAAAGGTCGGCAGGAAGGAGGCGGACGTGGTCGCCGTCGACCCGGAGGACATGTACCTAGCCGCAAAGGACAACGAGCTTGCAGCGAAAGCCGGTTACAGCGTCGTTGAACAGGTACAGTAGTTCCAAGGAATTTCTAATCTTCACCGTTTTCCAATTTGTCACAAGATCGATCCTCTCAGGTGAGAACGAAGGAGGAACCGGACGCACCGTACCGGTACGAGGCCGTGGCCGTCATACACAAAGATTTGAAGATCGACAACGTGGAAGGATTGCGAGGACTGAGGTCCTGCCACACGGGAGTCGGTCGCAACGTGGGCTACAAAATCCCCATCACTAAACTCACCGCCATGGGAATTCTGCACAACCTGAACGATCCCGAATACTCGGCACGCGAGAACGAGCTGCGCGCGTTGAGCTCGCTCTTCTCCAAAGGATGTTTGGTCGGCACCTGGTCCCCGGATCCCGCGATCAACCGCAGACTCAGTAAGCTACTCTTCCTTTGACAGAGTCTTACCTTCAGATTCTTTAATCGCTCCGATTTCGCAGAACAAACCTACTCGAACATGTGCGCCCTCTGCGAAAAACCGGAGGTCTGCGACTATCCGGACCTCTACTCGGGATACGAGGGCGCGTTGCGATGCCTCGCGCACAACGATGGACAGGTCGCCTGGACCAAAGTAATTTACGTGAAACGGTTCTTCGGTTTGCCGGTCGGCGTGTCACCCGCTGTTCCGACTGCAGAAAACCCTGCAGATTTCCGATACTTCTGCCCGGACGGCAGCAAAGTGCCGATCGACGCGAACACGAAACCGTGCACCTGGGCTGCTAGACCCTGGCAGGGGTACATGACCAACGGAGCGGCCGGCAACGTACAAGCAATGCAAAAGGTATCTTCTCTCGAAAGGTATCTTCATCGACTCTTTCGCTAATCGATTCCCAACTGTCAGGAACTGACGGATCTCGGTAAATTGGGAGAGCAAGAAAAGGCTGACTGGTGGAAGGACATCATGCTGCTGGACGAGAAGACCCTGGCTGTTGCCGCGCCTCCGGTGCAGCCCAAGGAACATTTGACCAACGCCAAGTATCTGGATGTGATTGAAAGGAACTCCGGAGCCGTAGGCAAGAGAGCGCGCTGGTGCATGTGGGAGCAGGGAGCGCTCGAAAAGTGCCAGGCCCTCGCTAAAGCTTCCTTCTCGAGGTAATTTTCTTCTAATACCTCACGCGTAGTCGATTCCTTACCCGGTTCTTCCGCCTCGCAGGGAGGTCAGACCGAAGTTAGAGTGCTTGCTCGAGAAGAATCAAGACGGTTGCTTGAAAGCCATCAAGGAAGGCAACGCTGATCTGACGGTAGTCGAAGGAGGCTCAGTGGCCCGAGCAACCAAGGAGTTCAACGCAGTTCCCATAATCGCCGAATCGTACGGAACAGGCGCGACCGAATACAGCGAGAGACCAGCCGTCGCTGTCGTTCGAAAGTCTTCCGGGATCAACAAACTAGGTACGCACAAGCGTTGCTGTTTTATATCTCGATACTCTACGATTTCATTCGATTTCAGAGGACTTGAGAGGCAAGAAGTCGTGCCACAGCGGATACCAAGGTGACTTCTCCGGTTGGTCAGCCCCGGTGCACGCCTTGAAGAGCAAAGGTCTGATCACCTCTGCCGACGATGTCGCCGATTTCTTCTCGGCATCGTGCGCACCCGGTGCGCCGGTCGAGTCCAACCTCTGCAAACAATGCGTCGGAAACGCCGCGGCCAACGACGATAGAGTTCGAAGCGCGACCAAGTGCAAACCGAACGAAGCGGAAACCTTCAGAGGCGGAAAAGGAGCCCTCGAGTGTTTGTTGCAAGGCAAAGGAGACGTAGCGTTCCTCCCGTTGCCGGCTCTGGTCAGCGCACAGAACAAAACAGGGGACCTGCAACTTCTCTGCCCGAGCGGCGGAGTCGCCCCGATCGAGGACGGGCAACGATGCAACTTGGGTCTGGATCCTCCCAGAGTGATACTCACCTCGGCTTCTAAGACCCCGAACGCCCAGGATGAACTGACCCACGGCACTCTGGCCGCGAGCACCCTCTACTCCAAACGACCGGACCTGCTGCAAATGTTCGGCACCTGGGCCGGTCAGCCTAACCTGCTGTTCAGGGTAACTGTCCGAGATATCTCGCGAAAGCGCTCGTTCACGACTTATGCAACGTTTCGTTTTCAGGATGACGCGAAAGGTCTGGTCTCGGTGAGCAAGGCGTGGAACAAGTGGAACGATTGGCAAGCGACGGCCCGAGAGTACGCTTGATGCAGCGAGCCACGCGAACCGCTTGGAAACTCGACGACGAGAAAGGATCGCCGTTGCGATTACGTAATAAAATAGCACAGCAAACGAAGCAACATTTTTCTTTATTCCTTTTCCTTCTTACCCCGATACCAACGCGGATCGTTACAGATCGAACAACGATTCCGACGGCGATACTCTGCTGGCTCGATCCAGCAAACGTTCCGATATTCGGCCGTGTCTGCTGCGACTGTACTTTTTGTGTACCGCGTCGAAACCGTAGCGCTTCTTGCCGGAAATTAAAACGCGTCGCAGCATCGTGACTCGAGATCGATCGATTTCCTCGTCCCGGTACCTGCGAATAAAGCGGCGTGAAATAGTCGTTTCCATCGGGGAGAAAGGTGCAAGAAGTAGACCGACTTGGCGATTAAGCGAGGAACGTTGGCGGAAAGCAGTCCCCTCCAGAATAGCCATCGCGGTCGAGCGTTGTCCACGATCGCGTCGAAGGCGAGACCGAGTGCCAGCTCGGCAGCCGTCGCGGCGATCAGACCCGCGCCTTTTCGACAGAACTGCTCGTCCAGCAGCGTCACGTCGATCTGCAAAAACAGCTCGCTAGATTCGACCGCGAACGAAACCTGTACGAAAGATGAACGTACCAGGTAGCCACCACAGTTGTACAGAAACATGACGCTCTCTTCGGAAATGTTTAAACAACGCTGGCAGTTGATCAGGTGATAATTGAAGAGAGAGAACGGGTCCGCGAACGTCAAGTTAAAATCCAAAGCCTGCAGGATCTTCGCCTCGCACGCGATCAGTAAATCTTCTCGGTCCTGGTACAACTCCTTAGCTAAGTTTACCATCTTCGCAGCCTGCAGAAAAGGAACATTGAGAATGTCGTCGAAATTCGACGATGAAAGCTTACCGTAGGTATCCTGTGAAAGTGTTCTTGCTTCTTCAACGCGATCCACAAGCTGGCCAACGCGTGCAGCTGCACGACCGGCGTTTGCATCGGGATTCTATCCAGCGCCGCGTCGAACAGCTTCACCGCCTGATACACGGCGAACGACGGATACCGGCAATGCACCTGCATCGACAACACGTTAATTTCGTTCTCCTTGACAGTCGTATTGCCTACTCACCCCTACGCTGATCATGAAGATGATCACCAGCCTTCTCTGTTCCGCGTTCACGTTGCCTCGCAGAAAGTTGACGGACAGTCGAACGGACCGCTCTTCCCTCTGCTGCTCGATGATCGGCAGATCTTCGAGATACTCCGCGTGGAAGAGCAGCTCGACCGGCAGAGAGGCTCGGTCCCCGGAACGGCCGAGATTTTTGGCGAGATCGGTCCTGCGAATCTTGTCCACCGGCTTCTCCTGGATCACCGGCTAAAACGTAGGTTGCAGTCGATGGCCGTTTTCTCGAACAAAACGTAATGCATTTACCTCGGCCGGAATCGGTGACGCAACTCGTCCGTCGCACAGCGTC